TGGCTCTCTTTCTCTTCTCTGAATACATGACATAATAATGAAAATATCTGGTTTTATACAGAACTGCTGACAGTGAAGATCTGGAGAGAAGACGTTTGATTGGATGAAGTTTATATGGTTCGAGCGATACGTCAAAGTTTAAACCGTTGGTTCTTCAAGGGTTCTTTAATAATGGTAGTGGTTTTATACAGAACCATGAACACTCAAAGAACCATTTACATGATTCAGGGGTTCTTTGCATTGGGATATGGTTTTTGAGATTGATGGAGGATGTGCTGTAGATGGTTCTTTTTGAGAAGGTAGGTCTGTATAGAGGGGTTCTTCTATAGTTACAAGCTTGACATCGTGACAATAGAAAAACCTTTTCACAAAGGTTCTATATAGACGCATCTACAGCACATCTACATCAATTTGAAGAATGCTTTCATGATGCAAAGAACCCTTTAATTATGCAAAGAGTTCTTTAAGTGTTTTTGGTTCTATACAGACCCATTTTTTTACAAAAAACCTTGAAACACCGCCTTTGTTAAGAGTGTAGTTTGTGTGGATGACATGCATTCTGAAAATTATAAAAGCATAAAAAGCATATGTATGTATTTTACTCTCATTGTAAGCTGTTGGGCAACATTATCATTGTGTTAGATCTTTTAGTGCCCCAGATATGTTTAGTATGAGTTCTTCATTTCCATAACGACGGAGGTGGATTTTAACATAGTTGTAAGATGGCTAAGTGGCCAGTTTGGCTCATACTGCAGTAGTTTCTAGTATAAATTGTTAATCGCAGGTATTCATAATTATTTAATCATCAGCTAAAATTTCATGATCTATATTTCAGCTGCATGTATTACCAAAGACAAAGGATCCCTCAGTGGGTTTAATACTATTTACAGCAGCTCCACCTGCTTTAGAAACAAAAAAACGTAAGTAAAATACATTACGTACTTGGGTACATTTGACATTACAGCCTCAGACATAACAAGATGTTACCTGTATTGCCAGTGTTTTATCTGTTAGGCTTGAATTTATTGTAAATTGTGCCGTAACTGAAGCTGCTTCCGTTCTGATGGGATGCAAGTTATCCACATGGTAGTCTAGGCAACCATTAAATTTACAACCATGCTGGTTTGGGCTAAAGGCCGTTACACATCGAGCATGAGTAAAAAGAAACCCACACTCTTTTTTTATAATGTTCCAAATGTTATCAGTGGTGACAGTTCTGGACTGCAGGCAGGCCAGTTTAGCGTCAGGACTCTTTTATTACGGAGCCATGCTGCTGTAAAACATGCGGAATGCGGTTTGACATTGTCTTGGAGAAATAAACAAGGCCTTCCCTGAAAAAGACGTCATCTGAACGGCAGCATATGTTGCCAAAACATGTATATATCGTTCACCATTAATGGTGCCTTCACAGATGTGCACGTCACCCATACCATGTGCACTAATGCACCCCTATACCATCATGAATACTGGCTTTTGAACTGTGGACTAATAACAAGCTGAGTGGTCTTTATCCCGGAGAACACCAAAAAAGAAATTCAAATGTTGATTTGTCGGACCACAGGACACTTTTCCACCTCACCTCAGTCCATTTTAAATGAGTTTAGGCCCAGAGAAGGTGGCAGCGCTATTGGATCCTGTTTATATGTGGTTTCTTCTTTGCGTTTTAGAGTTTTAACTTGCATTTGTGGAAGCAGTGATGAACTGTTTTCACAGACAGTGGCTTTCAGAAGTGTTTCTAAACCCATGTAGTGATTTCCACTACAGAATCATGTCTGTTTTTAATGCAGTGCCACCTGAGGGCCCAAAGATCACGGCCAGCAAATACTGGTTTTTGGCCTTGTCCCTCACATACAGAGATTTCTCCAGATTCTCTGAATCGTTTAATGTTATTATGTACCGTAGATGATAAAAAGCAAAAGTTCTTTGCTATTTTATGTTGAGAAACATTACTCTTCAATTGTTGCACTATTTGATCGTGCAGTTTTTCACAGTGTGGTGAACTCCTCCTCATCTTTACTGCTGAAAGACTCAGCCTCTCTGGGATGCTTTTTATACCCAATCATGTTACTGACCTGTTGCCAATCAACCACTATATGTTTTTTTAAGCATTACACAACTTTACCAGCCTCTTGTCATCCCCGTCCCAACTTTTTTGGAACTTTTTTGGCATATATTAAAAAAAATAATAATAAAAAAAATCTCAGTATCACCATTTGATATGTTGTCTTTGAAGCATTTTCAATGACATAATATAGGGTGTAAATGATTTGTACATCGTTGCATTTTGTTTTTATTTACATTTTTCAGAGCATCCCAACTTTTTTGGGAAACGGGGTTGTATTTTAATCCGAAAAAATTGCACGAATAAATCACGCTCAGTATCTAAAGGCCTTAAACCTGTCTTTTTAATGATGCACTTGTTCAGTCTTCTAGAAGTACTGATGAGACCCACAATATACTCTGAAAAGCATAATGTGATAACATTTTATCACATTGCCCACCTCTGCCGTTCCACTGTCTCGTGCTCTGAAAGGTCTCTCTTTATACAGCTCTATTTCAAAGCTCCTAAGTGCCTCGGAGACAGTAGTGATGTTGCCTAATTATCTATGTCACATTATTAATACCGGTCGTGGATCCCGACTAATTTCAGCAGGTTGTACGAGTGTCGGGAAATGATGGTTTTATAATTTTCCCCCGAGAACATTTTAATTGCGGTGTTTGTTCAGATGGAGCTGTCAGATTCACAGCATGTTCCTCTAAAGTCTTTCCTCCCTGCTTTTGGGCAGAGAGAGAGACCAAGGTCACCTGTGGAGCCTCAGGAGCTGCCATGTCCTCACACACTCGCTATGGTTCTCACGCAACCACGGCGTAGATGTTAGCGTCAACACCAGGCTGTAGATCTGTTGATCACAACTGCTTTAACATGATTAGAACAGTTTTACCGAAGCACAGCTTTAATTTCATAAATAAATAAAGGACATCTTTTGTGAAGTGCATGTGTTTTGCTATGTTGTATTTATAATTTGTATGCATTTCAAGAAATGATGCTAATGCTCAGTTAGGGCTGAACGTACTAATATACAGACGATGCAAAAGTTTGGTCCCCGCCGACCAAGTGACACATTTTGTTAATTGAAAATAAATTGAAAATAAAGTGAAAATAATGTAGCACATCTTCTACAGAGAGCACACTTGTGCACATTTTAGTGCACACTTAACTGTATACTTGCTGAATTTAACATAATAAAAGATAAAATGTGGCTTGTGCAAAAGTTATGGCACACTATAATTTTTTTTCCAAGTTGTTAAACTTAGAAATAAATAGAAATTGTGAACTAAAACATGCAGCATTTAAGTTTGTTCTCTGTAGAGGATGTGCTAATGTTTTTGTGTTAATGAAGTGAACAAGTAACTTGAGCAGGAGTATTCAAACTCTCGCATATAACTGTAAAGTGCAATTATATTTCTTATATTACGGTTCCTATATACAGGGGATCCACAATTAAAATTCTGGGATTCTTTTTTATTTAAACCTAAAAAAAAAGTTTTAGAATTATAAAAAATGTAAAGCAGAGAAAAGTTCTGACAAGTAGAATGAAGAAGAAATATTTAAGATTCTGCACTATTTATATATATTTTAAGCGAGTTGGTGACCATCATAAGTTCTTTGTACAGATGGGTCTGTTTTGTTTTTTTTAAAGTCTTATTTTTCCAGTGAAGCTCGTGTTCAGATGACTCTCGGGTGGATCTGATCTGCTGATCAGAGGCTTTTACACAAACTTGTGGAGTTGATGCCTGAGTGCTCGAGTGCACAGTGTCATTAAAGCAAAAGGGAGACATACTGTATCAAATACTAAGACATTCTTAAATGAATGTTAATATTTCAAAGATTCTGTATTTCACTCAGATTATTTTGCTGAGAATATAATTTGAAGTGAAAAGCTTGTATTAAATTAAAAAGAAATGCCAAATAGAATAATTTTTACTAGTGATCTCAGACTTTTGGACTGTACCTTGTCATATATTTAAAACACATCTGCCTGGAATTATTTGGATAAAATTTATGTTTGTTGGATTGTATGCCTTGAAGAAAACTTGTCAGGTTTGTGATCAGTTGAGTGAGAGGGCTCATTCGCATATTGCAGCCTTCAGCATTATCAGTATTAGGTCACTCTACACTGACTCACCTAGCTCACTCTGCAATTTTGTCACGGATTTCTAGGACAAATTTACGTAACTCATGTAGCCATGCTGCACTCCAGTTTGTTATTTAGTTATGAGTATTTTAAAGTTGTCCAATCAGATTCAAATTTGATTTTTAGTTGTTAATACATGAAGTACATTCTTCAGTAAATTAACCCATTGTGGGTTTTTTAAAAAATGAAACCAGTTGATTGAAAGTGAAAAACTGTTGTCAGTGTATTTATATTAAATTAATATTTCAGCTCAGTTCATTCTGTAAGCAGTTATGCAATTTAGAACCTGATGGGGCAAACTTAAAAAATTAATAACTAAAAAACTAATTGATGCGTAGCTTTGAGTTTTTGCAAGGCTGCATAAATCAAATTGTAGTTTTTGCTTGAATGTGTTCGTCCTGACTGGACAGGCCCTTGGTGAGTTAGCATGAAATGCCCCAGTTTAAAAAACAGATCATCACTGTGTTAAAATTATTTTATAACACAGTGATGTTTATCCTTTTTATTTCCACTTTATTTGACCACAGCAGCTGTCCTTTACATTGTGTGAATATTTCATGATGAACTGAGCATAAGTAATGGTCCGAAATGACTATTGAAATCTCTTTACAATAACTTACAATAAAAGTTAAGAAAGTTTTTTCCTTCCCCTGTAAAGTTGCCATGTTTGAGATGCATGTCTTCTTTGGACAACATCAAGATATTCCAGTAATGATTAACAAAAAATATATTGTGCAGCTCCAACTTCTAACCTAATTTACTTGGCTTATTGGAATAACCGTTTGTTTTATTCTCCATTGACAGACTGCTGCAGAGCTCTGCACCCCAGCAGGTGCTTCAGCCACTGTCCAGGGTGCTGAACTCCTAAACCACCACCACTGCCTCAGCTCTGCTACATGCAAACTGACCTCTGCTGACCTTCCTCCAGCCACTGCAGTCTAACACCAACCACACATCTTCTCAAGAATGGATGAGGGGTACCGAGACCGAACGGCCTTCATTAAAGGCGCCAAGGACATCGCTAAAGAAGTGAAGCGACAGGCGGGAAAGAAAGTGGGCCGCCATGTGGACAAGATGGCAGATGAGTACACCAAACGTTCCTACACGCGCTTCGAGGAGGAAGACGATGACGACGATTATCCCGTCCAGGCGCAGGACGGCAGCTACTACCGCAGCAACAGCCGTGCCAACGATGACGAGGGTGCCCACAGCGACTCCACGGAGGGCCACGATGAGGACGACGAGATCTACGAGGGCGAGTACCAGGGCATTCCGCGCAACGACTCGGTGGGCAAAGCTGATGGGCAGCCAGGGGGCGCGGCCCACTCGCAGTTCCGGGACTTAACGCAGTACGAGGCCGAGCGGCGCAAGGACCAGGAGGAGTTGGCCCAGCAATACGAGACCATCCTGCAGGAGTGCGGCCACGGGCGCTTCCAGTGGACCCTCTACTTCGTGCTGGGGCTGGCGCTCATGGCCGACGGCGTTGAGATCTTCGTGGTGGGCTTCGTGCTGCCCAGTGCTGAGAAGGACATGTGCCTGTCCGAGCCCAACAAAGGCATGCTGGGTAAGTCATCTGTCACCCATTTTCTGCTCTAAGGCCTATTTATGCTGGGCTGCATTTTAAGCTGTAGGTGAGATGATTATGATTAAAATATATTAAACAAACCACTCAAATTATTATAATGAAGGAGAGCCAACATTTTAAGGAGTATTCTCAAATTTACTGTGTAAATAAATCACTAAATTGGAAACAAAATAATTCAGAGTGGTTTGATGTGAAACCTACTGAGTCAGAATTGCTCTCAGTGATGGTTATAGGAACCTGATAGAAACCTCACAGAAAGTTATTACTTGATACAGTCATGAAATTATTTAATAATAGCCTTGAGATACAGTTTTGGCCTAACATGTATGTTTTAAAATATATGCAGGGTGCTGTCCAAAAGTGTCCAAAAAAACAGTCTTTTCAGATTTATCACTGTTCACATCATCAGCATAACATAAAAAAAACTTAGAAGACACATGTTGGTTCACTGGTGGTTTTGGATAGTAAATAAAAGGGTTATGTTGTGTTGTAGACGTTGCGACCTCTGGTTCCCATCACCACCACTAGGGTTAGCGTTAGGCCAGTAAAAAAAAATTCTAAGAAATCTAAGCAAGTAAATTTCACCTCAAATCAATCTGGAAGATGATGTTTTACATCTTATTGGTTGAGTTATTTAGAAATTGTAAAAAATCAGTGGAATTTCCGTTTGTTTACTGTCATGTTTTGAAGTGTTTGTTCATTAATGTTCTCTGACTACAATACACAGCATGTACTATACAGATACATCATACAGCCACTGGGCATCTCCAGCTCATGCTAATCACTGATCTGTAGGCTAATAAATACATTTGTGTTGCTGGCCAGCATTAGTGCTATAGTGTTTATCTGTTTATGCTGGTCTTGGGACAAAATAATCTTTTACAGATATAATTAAGTCGAACTAAAGAAGTGAAGCGCCTGTCGACTGCCGTGTATATCTGCGTACAATAAATACACAGTGGTGAAGGTAAGGGCTAAAGGTCTTGACTCCCAAAAAAGAGGTTGAGGTTTGTATAAAGTGGGAAGCAGCTGCTAGAAAGGATGTTGATAAGCTACAAGAAATCTTTATCCAAGACAAAACAGACATCAGTAGCCAGAAAAAAGGAACCAAACAATTTATGTAGCTAACTTGCTAATGGCTACGTTCACACTACAGGCCTCATTGCTCAGTTGTGATTTTTTGCTCAGATCTGATCTTTCTGACTTGATGGCTCACATTTATGTAGGTAAGTGACTCGAATCTGTCTTTAATGTGAATAAACCTGTGAAATGACCTGCATGTGCACATTCTAATCAATAACGTCACGAGAATGAGCCACATGCGTCATGACGGGAAAATCATAAACGCACCCGCTGGGCATGCATGGCTACGATACGTTGTGTGAAGAGTCAGATGCTAGTTGAGCCAAATAAACTGTCTGCAGTCACTAAGGGGGAAAAAACTGTTTTACTGTATTTATGCTCAGTTGTGATGTTGTTATATAGTGTCCACATACAAAAATGTAACATATTTGTAAATGTGTACAAATAATTCTATATCTTTATTCAGACGTGGGTTCTGTGCCCTTGTATTGTTCTGTAGGTGATTAAAAATGCATTCTACATTTATTTAGTTTGATGTTTATTCTCTTAAAAACTAGCCACTAAGGCTACTTTCACACAGCCCACATCTGATTTCCTCACCAAATCCAATTTTTTTTTGGCTGTTAATATTATCTTTTAAATGTGACCTGTATGTGACATTATTCTGAAGAGATCAGCTCCTAATCGACCTGTATGCGCAAAAGAACACTGATTCACGTTGCGTCACGTGGCTCATCCAGAGATAAACAATCATGACTGCTAATGAACGCCAGTCGCTCCCCAAGCTTTCAGTTTCATCTTCGCCAGCATCACAGGAGCCATCATGGAGCTTTATTGACTGACAGCTGGGCTCATCATCCAGAATGTGTTTGAGTTCGCGTCCTCGGATTCTTTGAACTTTTAACTGTTCTTTGATGCTGCGGCCTCGGTCTCCTACCGCCGCGTTTGGCCATTTCTTCCAAAACCTCCTTCAACACAGGGTTTGGAAACATCTCCTCTAATTTTAGTACAGAAACATCAGCCTAAATGTTTATAAGGTCTCAGCAGGGCAAAATTATGACGAATGTCGAGCTGTACTGACATAAAAGTCACATGAATTCTGATCTGGCTGTTCAGACAGAGTCGTGTTGCCGCAGATCGGATATGTATCAGATTTCAGTACCACAGTGTCTAAAATCGGAATTGAAAATGTCAGATTCAGTCTGCTTTTTGCTGTTCACATTGACACACAGATATATGAGGAAAAAGATCGGATTTGGGCCACTTTTACCTGCTGTGTAAACGTAGCCTAAGACATAAAATGCATATTATTGGCCATAAAATGAATATGCAGCGATACAAAATAATGCCAGTTAATACTTACATTGTCAGGGGAAGATACCACTGTTAAGGCTAACTTACTCTTTTGATTGATGAGATATTAAATTTAGTTATAAACTAAATTATAGCAAAATTAATTACTAAGACAGCAGCATTCATTCTTATCTTTAAATTATTTTAAGTGTTATCCTTGAATAGCTTAGTTTTGCTTGTTTAATCCTGTACATTTTCTTGCTGTAAAGTTGTAAACGAACAAAATATACCGTCCTTAACAGTAGCTCCCCACATTGGCTATCTGGCTAGCATTAAATTACAGTGAGCGAGTTGCCAGGTTTGCACAGAATAAAACAGATTGAGTTTTTTTGAGCTTCAGATTGAGCTTCATTCGGCACTTCGGCTCAACTCGACTCGCCATGGGCATCTCCCGTCATGAACAACAAACTAACCAGCAGAACGAGCCTTCGTCGTAAGGTTATTAGCTTTATCAGCTGTTCATCATTAGAGCGAGACGAAGGGGAAAATGGGTCAGATACGTTGCTGTTTACTGGCTCTAACTTCAGATTCAGCACTGCTGCTTTGTTAATGCTCATTGACGGTGCACACGCAGTCGATAAAGAGCACACAAAGTCCGATCTGAGCATTCTCATTGAGGTCACATCACCATGAATCGGACATAGGACCGCATATTAAAGTGGCTCGGATCGGATTTGAAAAGATCAGATTTGTGTGTCCACACAGCTCTGGAAACATCAGATCTGTGTTACATTAAGGCAGAAAATTAGATTTGTGCCACTGCGGCCTGGTAATGTGAACGTGTTACCTTTTGGCTGGTCGTTGTTCTTTGGCTTTAACTTGGGTGGCTGGATATTGCTGATAAAATCTCTTTCTGACAGTTAATCTGTGTTATTCTTTGTAATGATGATTTGAAGACACTTAGCAAAGTTATGCAAATGCAGAAAGATTTTTGGTTTTATAGCTCTAGCTGTCTGGACCCCTCTGCGTTTCAAGTTGCCTGTAGGCTTTCAAAATGTACTACCTCCATTAAGATGTCATCTAAAAGATGGGTTTCCCTCGTATTCAAACTTCACTCGCTGTAAGACGTAAGTAGTCATGGTTATAACTGATTAATTAGAGTCTCTGAGCTAGCTGAGCATTTTCTCTCAATGACAGGTGAGCCTGGTGGGAGAGAATAAACCAGCTTCAGGTTTATCCTCTTCTCCACAACTTTCTGTGAAAAATATTGTTTCTTTTTGTTTGCATATCTTGTACTGTTTCTAATCGCTGTTTATTGCAACTAGTGCAAATCCTAAAATGAAGAGTTGGGGTACATTGATGCAGATTGATGAGTCAATTCTAAGCATTTATAATAAAAGCAAGAGTCGAACCTTGACTTCCAAGCGTGTTGGAGTCGAAGAATAATTTTTTTTACCCTTTCCACTGGTGCGCAGTGATGTAATCAAAAATCATCAGACATTTTAGAAGCAGACAAAAGTCACTTAAATTAAAACATGAGTTTTGTCTTTTAAATGACATGAATCATGCCTAATATGACCAGGAACATGAACAGCTTTGAGGTGGACATTCATTATGCTGGTGCTAACAAGTCTGTAAGCATCTCTTGCCACGCTATTTTTGTAAGCTACGTTATCTGGAAGCTTTAAGTCAAATCTCTAAATCCTTTTATTAGTACATCCTTCTATTCATGTGTGCACTGTAAATTAAATCCAGGGTGTGCACACAAAGGCCTGGACCAGCAATCAACAGTATATTCCTGCAGGCCAATGTCCGTTCACATTTCATGCCCAATACACCATCTGTCAGATCCATTGAGCGAAGGACACACAGTGAAGCACGGCCTGCTCTCCGCTGCCTGAACTCTACAATGCGATGACGCATTTGAATCTATAATTAACAGGCAGAAAAGTAAACGCTTCACAACGCAGCGGGTGCTGCAGAGAGAGAGAGAGAATGGAAGTGACTGAGGTACCGTCCTCCATTCATGAACAAACAGCATACGTACATATTAAACAGATTGATAGATGGATATACTTTATTGATCGACTGGTGAAATTTGGTTTGCTACAGTAGCAGGAAGGCACAGAGCACAGAGTAAATAGATCATATGTACATAGTAGATATTCATGGATGTTAGGCCTGTCACGATCATGAACAATTCATAGAATACATAATTCAGTTTGATACAATACTTTACACTCTTGATTTGTTACATTTTTTTGGCTCTGGCAAAAATACAGCATGCCTTCTTTACCTGGTTTACGTTGATATGGTATTGTTCATGTATTAATGTTTCCATTTCCAGTTTATTATGACCTTCAATATTATAAAAATGCAATATTTGATAAAAATGCCCCAGCCCTGAGCTAATATACTCATATGAGGAATGCGCTATTTCTCCTTGCTCTTGATTCTGAGATAAAGAGGATGCTGTAGTGCATTGCTTGTTTAATTATACAGGGTGATTCAAAAAGATTCATCCGATTTCAAAGCGCCATATTTTTACAACCGTGAGGCGCCTAGGAACCAATCACATACCAATTGAAATAGGGAGTCATGGA